CTGCTCAGACCAGGCGTTTCCGTGCAGATGGCATGGACGCGCTCTTGCCGCGAAAGTCGGAATCGTTCGCTCGTTGGGAAGTGGATTGCCACCGCTAGAGCTACCCGGACGTGGACGCGTCGGCTGGCACCATGTGACTGCGCGGCTCACAAGCGGCTTCAGGCTCTTGCAGACGAGCATGCGCCCGGCTCTGCCCTCTTCCACCACACCGAGACGCGACGCAAGAGCCTCACAGCATCCCTGACACCTCCTGCCATATCCTGCGCGCCCTTTGCGAGCTGTTCCGCGGTGCCCAACAAGGAACTGCTCCCGCCCGTTCGCGCGTCTTCCCGCTATCTCGCGTGCTGCGCACGAACACGGTCCACGGTGCTGCTACGACACGTCTCCGACCATCCAACTCCCACCGAGACCCGCCATTGGGACGTTTGCTACCCTGACATCCTTACCTGCATCTGTATTTTCGGCGCAGCTGCTTCCACTTTGACTGTGAATTGCACTCACAGCGCGAGTCGCTAGTTGCCTCCTACCCCGCCGCCACGCCCGCGAAACCATGATGCGTAAGTCGCGTTCCCCCCAAGCCGACTTAATTACCCCGGTACTCACGCTGCCATTGCACCAGCAGAACACGCCCAGGCCACCCACACAGCAACTATTGCTGCCGTAAACAACGCAGAGCCCCAGGCCTCGCAGGAATCAGTCCAGTCTGCTGTGTCTAGTACCTTCTCGGCACCGGCACTTCCCTCTTCGTCGAGCAACCTCTCTACGGCCACCACTACCGAGACCGACCTCACCACCCCGTCCTCGACCAATGCAGCGAGCCAAAGTAAACCTACCGAGGCCCCAATGACGGAATCGTCAAGTCAGAGTACGGGTGGGCAGGTGCGAGCGGCACCACGCATCGATACCGCTGCTGCCAACGCGCTCCAGACCGGTGACACAGCAGCTGGTCCCATGCCACTGGAGTCCCCCGCAAAGAGCTCCAAGAGGACTGTAGATGGATCTCTCAAGAGCGCTGGGTTAGCGCCTGAAACTCCATCGGCGCCCACCCATTCACACAAGAGGAACAAGAGCATGGATACACACTCAGGCCGCATTGGAGAGGTGCGTAGTATAGCTCCAGGCCATGCTTACAGTCCGCTAACGCGAACACAGCTATCCGCACAGCTCAAGACGCGTCTTTCCTACGCCATGGTCAAAGTCCAGAACGGCTGGGAGAAGCAGTCACTCGATGAGCTGGAAGAGAGCCAGTCACAGCGTGGTTCGCCCAACTCTGCTCCTGGGAGGACTGACCATCTAGCATTCGAATCACCTGCTACCGTCGATCGCCAAAGAAGACCGAGCGGCGTCTCTGACATCTCAGACCAGATGATCATGTCCCCGGCTTCTGATCCAACCCACTCACTTGCAGGGACTCCAGCTTGTTAGTCAGCCCCCAAGATTTCCTCTGATCATGCTAACGTCTGTCAGCCTACTGGCGACCAGGTACCCGCCCCGCCATGAATGCCGCAGCAAACCTCATATCCATCACTGGCGCACAACACGGCTATGGCCTCGCACCAGCCCCAACCTTCCAGAGTGGGCGAAGACGACGCTCCAGCGTCTCGCATGTGCCCCCTCCGCTTCTCGGCGCCAGCCAAAGGAAACACTACAGTGATGTTGGCGCAGGTCCACGATCACCAGCCACTCCTCGAGCAGGCATCCTTCGCATGCCCAGCCAGCAAGCCGAGAAGGACGCCGTCGACACACTCCTCTTCATGAGCAGTCCCAACAACTCTCAGCGCTTCCCACCCGGCGGTCAACCAGCACCAAGTCAACTCAGAGCCGAAGCACCTCAACGACGCGTCATGTTCGAAGCATACCCACCACAAGACAAACGCGCCATGTACCAGCCATCGATGCCCGCACCGCCCCACCATCACCAACACGGACCGTACCCCGCGTATCCAGCGAGATAACGAGAGAAATTTCCAAATGAGAATTCACCCCCCACCCTCTCTTCAACACTATTCTTACGGCTCGACGATCGCATTGCATGGCTGGCGTTGAGATACCCCACTGCACGTATGTCCACATTGTTACTGTCAGCCACCAATCTCCACACCGGACGCATATGTTGTTCATGCCTCGGATGCTTTGGGAGGTTGTATTGATATCGCTTGGCTCCCTTTCTTGTATGAGCTCTGCTCGATTACGCTTGTTTACTTTTGCTCTCTGGCTATGGCTGTTGTGGGCCTCGAGTGACATTTGTATGTTTGAGCGTGTGGGTATGTTATGAATAGGTATTATGATTGTGTAACGAATAGATGATAAATGTATATCCTGATGTGCGGGTTTGTGCGGGTGAGGGTGATGTGTGGGGTGGCGATGTGCTGAGATGGGTGCATGGGACTGATGGGGTGGGTTGGAGAGGGTATCTGTGTTCTACTGGACAGTAACAGTGCTGGATGATGCAGGTAGGAGAGGAGCTTGTAGTTTAAGACATAGGTACAGCTACAGGGCAAGGTTTACTGCAGAGCCGGGGTTGGATGAGGGCTTTAGTTGCAATCCAGCCATGCCGACGTTATGACAAAATGAACAGAGGTCGAAGCCAAAGTCCTTGAAATCGGCATGTGCGAAAATGAAGATGCAGAGTGAATAGTTTTCCTTGCTAACTATGGCTGCTTCCTCTTTCAAGGCTTCCGTAAACTCGGTATGGAGATCGCTTCCAGATGCCAAGATGATGTCGTTGCGGAAGCTATGTGTAGCGGCAGGTACGACTACTGAATACTGTGTACGGATGCCTAATACCCCGAAAAATCTTGGACAGGTCTGCAACCCACATGGAGATGCAAACATGCAAAGCAGATGACCTAACGCCGATGTAGGCTCCAGGGCCTAGTGCACAGGTTTTTTCCGCCTCGATGGAAAAGTATGGCTTCGTTGCATGCATCCATCCTCGACGCTTTGCCCTCTCATGCGCGATTTGTAGGCAGTAAATGATCGTGAGATCACATGGACTGCATCTGGAGCCGTTGAACTAGACGATAGGGGTACTATAAAGAAGGGATAAACAGTGCTAGCGGCAGACAGCCAGCATCGAACCGCAACGAGTAATGCTCGAGCAGAAACCATTACCAGACCACGTCAATGTCGAGAAGATCGGCTTCTGTGTACTAGAATGCTATCTCATTGGCAGCGATCGAGGCGAGGGGTAAACGCATGTGTACCACGCCGCCTGGGGCCTGCCGCTACGTCACAACGCCTCGTACCCCAATCTTGAGCACCAGCCCGAATACCAGAAGCGGCAGTTGATACCTCTCAACAACTCGCTCCACCAAAAGGATATGTCCAGCGCAAAGGTTGCCGCCGATAGCAGTCGCGACATCACCACCGAAACTACCGAGCGCTACTCCGTCTTCACCAAAGCCGAAAAATGGTGCATCGTCGCACTAGCATCATACGCAGCGTGGTTCTCCACGCTGAGCAGTTTCATCTACTTTCCAGCCATTCCTACGCTATCGAAAGAGTTGGGAGTGTCTGTTAACAAAATCGACCTGACCGTGACGACGTACATGGCGGTCGCCACTTTCTCTCCTATGCTGGTGGCTGATGCAGCAGAGATACTTGGACGGCGGCCAGTGTATGCTGTCACTTTGACCGTGTATTTCATCGCGAACCTTGCTATTGCGTTGTCGAAGACGTATCCGGCGCTTCTTGCCCTACGGGCGTTGCAGGCTTTGGCTATCTCCGGTATGTGTTATTGCAGTCGTTGAGGCTGCCTATTAACACTGATAGGTACGTTTTCGATAGCATATGGTGTTGTCGTTGACATCGCGTCTCCCGCGGAAAGAGGCTCTTTCGCTGCGCTGGTGTCTTTCGCGTTCGTCTTCCCTTCCGACATCAAGGCACAGAATTGCTCATAGTTGTCAGTGTAACAACAGCACCTAGCATTGGACCAGTCATTGGCGGTAGCCTTACGTCGGTGGCTGGCTGGCCTTGGATCTTTTGGTTCCTGTGCATCGTATCGGGATCTTGCCTCGCAGCTATGTTGCTGTGCTTACCGGAGACGTCCCGAGATATCGTGGGAAATGGATCAATCCGACCGACGAAGCCTCTGCTGCCACCTCCGCTTATTATGCGTCATTGGAATACCACTGATATTGAGCTTACACGAGTCTGGCGTATGCCTAATCCCCTGAAGTCGCTCATGATACTTCGACGTTTAGATAACGCGGTTATCATCTTGGCTTGCGGACTGCTTTACGTTGTACACACCTGCATCAATGCTTCACTTTCAACCTTATTCGTCGACGTGTATCATCTAGATCAGCTCCAGGCCGGACTTATTTACCTTCCCTTTGGTGTCGGCGGAGCTGCATCCACTTTGGTGTCTGGCCGGCTTCTAAATCGAGCTTGGCGCAAAGCGCGAACCACGCAAGGCTTGTCCACGGATAAGGTCGCTGGAGACGACTTGGACAGCTTTTCTGTCGAGAAAGCTCGGCTGCAGGTCATCTGGATACCCATGTTCATAACTATTGCGTCCATTGTAACCTACGGGTGGGTGTTACATTACCAAAAGGTGCGTCGTATCTCCGAGCTCTAGTTGTGCTGATGCTCAAACACTAAAGCCAATGGCCATATCACTCGTCCTGCAGTTTGCAACAGGGTTCGTTATGCAGCTAGACTTCAGCGTCAGTTCCTCCCTGAGAATCCTTCATATGGAGTTTGAGAGCTGAAGATCTCGCAGGTATACAACACGCTCCTCGTAGACAAGAACAATCAAGCACCGGTAGTTGCACAAGCATCTAGCAATATAGTCCGGTGCGCCTTAGCAGCAGTCACAGTATCGTTTCTGCAGCCCATGATAAACTCAATGGGTGTAGGCGGAACATTCACATTCATGGGCGGGCTATGCCTGATTGCTCAATGCTTGTTTCTCGTTGATTACTACAAAGGAACTGCATGGCGACAGAAGCATCTACGTAGTCTGTAGGGCTCTTTACATGACCAACCGTATATGCTCAAATGAAGCTTGAGCATCTCACCACTGCGACCTCTCCATTCCGCGGGCACAAAAGAGATCTTTCTTGAAGCCAAATCATACATAACTCGAGACAGTCTTTACTAACCCAGTCTGCTGGCAATGCGAATATCTCGGAGAATCCTTTCCTCTCATGGTTTTGTTGATTCGTGACCTGTGATGGTTGCGCGAGTTTAGCGTCCGACAGAATTTCCCAGGAACAGATAGAGAAAGTCCGTGACAAGAAGAGTAATCGATCGCGTTTGAGGAAGGACAGTGCTAAGCCGATTTGAGAAGCCATTTCTTCTGGGAGGAATATGGGAACCACTATGTGTCGATGGTCGCTGGCCACGTCTGGTTGAGTCTCGACGCTCGCACTTGTTGAAAGGGATGACGTCGTGAAGTAGAGGAACTCTTTTAGCTTGGACCTGTTGCTTCGCGACATCTGAACGAGGATGTGTTGCTTGTCCGACGTAACCAATATGCGCTCCACGGTCCTTGCCGCAGCTTCTTGATCTGATAGGGCTGAGGTATCTGGCTCAAGTGATCTCTCGATACGATACGTGGCACGATCGTTCAAGTCCCATGATAGTATCACGACTGAGTTTTGACCGAAGCCAAAGATCAGCGCTGGGTCTTGAGGATGTGCGATCCACTTGTGGTCATGTTCGGGCGCGGGTACTGAGCGCACTACCGAGGCTGACTCGAGTGAGATTGTGCAGAGCGTGGCTGATGTAGCTACGAACAGATGGCTCGAGTCTGGCTGGAACAGGAGCTGCTGTATAGAACCGTCCGTGAGGGTCTTGAGTGAGACTTCGAATTGATGGTGCACAACGCCGTCACTGCCTGACGCATTCATGTTCATAGCCATGGCGAAAATCTTCTTGCCCGAGTCGGCATAACATATGTAACGGCCATCATAGCTCCAGGCCACCTGCTCAATGCTCAAAAAGCCTTTAGAGGTATGCAGTTCTGTCGCCTCGACTTCTTTCGTGTTGCATAGCATTACGCGTCCACTTTCAGTACCGTAGCAATAGTACTGACCGTTTGGCGAAGCCGCGAGTACGGTGATCGCATCTATCCTCCGGGATGTATGGACAGGCGTTATTGACTCTTGCGACGAGCTTTCCGACTCGCCTTCAGTATCCGTTCCTTTTATTGCACTCTCTGCATATCGCACTAGTGCTGCAGGTTCCCAGGTGTTTCCGTAGTAGCCTCGCACGTCGTAGATACGTCTGTGATCAGCGCTGAACGCCAAGCCGAGGATGGCGTCTTGAGACGCAAGCTGGTAAATGAGGTGAAAGGTGTTGGTGGTATATATCTTGATCGCACCCCGTACATCACCCGTTGCGAATAGGTTTCCGTCTCCGCTAACGGTTAGTACTGAAGCGCCTGTGAAGATCTCTTCGGGCTCGCCTCCATATGGATCCCACCTAAAGACTACCCCGTCATTGTATAATCCCAGGACTTGCGGAGGATGCGGGAGCCACTCTGCTGCAGCGACTTCGCCTCTTGCAACTTCTTTCCGGGCACGCCAGCAGTGGCCAATGTGATAAGGGCCTTCCACTTCCCAAGCGGATAACGGATGACCACGGTATGCAATTGCGATCAAACTGCCGTCACCGCTAAGTGCCATGTAGCTTGCGGCGTTCAAGAAGTGACCTTTGAGTTCCTCTTCCTCGAAATTCGCGACAACATTCCAAGTCGGCGATTGCTCGTTGATCTCAAGCGAACGTAGCTGCTTATCGTCCGACCCAACTAACAACGTTCTGTTATTGTTCACAAAGGCGATCACAAGTGGCCGCGTTCGTGTTGCAGGGTTCGGTACTGTCGCTACACATTCTCCAGTGGAGATTTCCCAGATCTTTGTAGTCCTGTAGCCGTATGTGACGATCGATGTCCCGGAAGAGTTCAGTTTCATCATGTATGTACGTTCATCGTGTCTGATGGGACTCGTTGCTGTCTCCTCAAAGAGGGAGGTGTCGAACAAAGACGCTTTCCCCGAGGCGGCCAGTACAGCGACATAATTTCCCGCAGTCGATATAGAGGAGGCATAGGTACCAAACCCGAATGATAGTCGTGCGAGAGAGTCGTCCCATGTCTGTGTCGAAATCCCGGAAATCATCAGACTCCTTTGCTCTGTTCTACCAAACTGCTGATAGATAGCTGAGTTGTGCGGACAGAAAGAAGCAATGGTTTTGTGTATTGTAGGGGGGTTGCGTCGCAGGATGGCGCCGAACTTGCCAATGATTTTGACAAAGTCCACTGCCCAGGTTTCGGCCAGCTCCAGTTCCACTACGTCACTTCTTCCGATATTGGCTGGAAGCTGAGATTTCCTCTTGTTGACATAGCCGAGCAGATTTTTCGACGCCTGAATGAGTATGCGAAGTCGAAGTTCACTTGCTAGGATATGTATCCACGTCAGTACACAGTGGCCTGTCAGGAATTTGTTTATAACACTAGCCACGGCTTCACTACCGGCTGGCACTGCTACCAAATGAGATGACCACCAGTTCGAGCTGTAGCTTGCAAAGTCCGGTATATCATGAGTAACCTCTGATCGAAGGCCGCTAGACATGAGATATCGCATGCAGCTTAAGAACAACTGCTCATGTGCCTGACGTCGATCTACTTGGAAAGGTCGGCGGACAGCGCCAAGCAGATACTCTCGAGCCGTTTCATGGATCATCGCGACGTTGCCATCATTGTCAATGACCACAAAGCCGCTACAGACGTTCTTGATGGACTCTTGAATGTCTAGAAACTCATGTGTGTCACCTTCTAGTGCCTGCAAGAGCTCCTCTATTGTGAGGGCGCGGAACGCACATGTGACACACTGAAGAACGGCTGACGCTAGGGCGGTGTCAGCAGATGATTGGTGCTCGGCGATGGTAACAGCCATCCGGTCATAGATTGCTTCCATTCCACGGGGAAATTCGTGAAAAGCTTGCTCAACGGCGGAGAGCGTATGACACGAGTTGATCTTTTCTACAGCGAGTCGTACCCACTGAGAGGTTAGCAACTTCATAGCATGGTACTGAATATCAAACTTACGAGAAAGTTGTCTTGCGCTTCGTGCAAGATACGCTGAATGATATCATCCCTAAAGCCCTTGCTACCAGGCAAGATGAGTTCTCGGTCAACGTAGCAACGTAAGTCATCCACATGGCCCTCGATGGTGATCGTCTGTTGGAAAATTGTGTTTGGTGTATGCTCCAGACCAGCAGCTATCTCTGTAGTGTCGCGACTGACCAAAAGGACCCGGATAGGTGTCGCAGAACCAGCAATGTCAGAGAGCAGGTCTATCAGGGCTTTGGGATTATCAGCTTCGTCAAGGCCATCGATGACCCAGTGAAGTGTTTTCCCGGGACCGAGCTTGAACAATATGGATCTGAATATCCGATCCCAGATCGTCCTCGGGTTTGCAGCCTCAAAGTCGACAGCTTCGCTTTCCACCTCCGCTATCTTTTGCAGAAATTCAGGTAATTGTTGTGCAATCTGATAAGCGATTGAACGTAGGAGAAAGCTCAGAGTGCGCTTTCTTCTATCTGCGAACCGCACGAAAAAGTACTGACAGCAGAAATCGCGCTCGATCAGGCTGTTGATGATAAACGAACTTAGGACCGACTTTCCTCGTGCCGCGGCCCCCTTCAGCCAAAGTATCTGATGAGAGGATATGTGAGGACTGAGCCAATCCAAGAAGCGCTGTTCTTCATGAATCCATTGGTTAGTACCCTGCACCCATTGGTCCCGGAAGAAGATGTAGTCAGTGTTGGGAAACTCGGCGATAGCTAATATGGCTTTGAGATCCCTTGATCGTCTCCTTCTTGGTGCGCTCTGGCTTCCAGATTGACTCTTCGATATTGACTTGCTGACGAGTGACTTGAGAACGTTCCTCACTGTGATATAGTTCGGGTCGTGAGGGCTCTCATACTTGCAGACACCGTGGTGGTCTGCGTTCAGAGGGTTGGATGTCTCTCCAGGATATCCGAGCAGCGACGAATCCCTTTCTAGCACCATCTTCGCATGTTAGCAGTGAAGCTAAAGTTGTACATATGCAACTAGGTCACTCACCACTCGCGCTCGCGCACTCTTGGGCCCGATCGAAGTCGGCTGTGTCTCGTAGAAGGAAACGATCTTTAGCTTTGGTGCAATGTGACGAAACTGTTCATTCAGCTTCTGTAACGTGGACGAATTCCGCGTCAGCTCAGAAATGAAAGGCTTGGAATTTGTTACGGGAGTCGACTGTAATATTCGGTTGAGCACGTTGGCCAAATTGGTGCCACGATGTGGGGTCGAGAGGAAGATGATTGCTGAAATGGCTTTCACTATGTTTTCGTATTCTGGATCGTTTTGACCCTGCATGTAGGCCTGGAAAGTGTGAGCAAGGTACGTGCAACTGATGAGTGATGTTACCTCTTTGACGATTAGACCGCCCATGCTGTGGACTACGAACAGCAAAGGTACCTGAAATTCGGTTTAGCAAAAGCAAAAGGCCACAATAACATTGCCTCACTTGACCCATGTTCAGATTTTCGCTCTTGTCATCCGTGTAATACTTGAGATTGTACAGTAGAGTTTTGGCGAAGTCCAGTATCACGTTGGTGGCATTGCTGCCGTTCGTGAAATCCGCATCGTAGCCAAAGCTCAGAATCCTCGCGAGGCAGATATCTGGCTCGAGTGGTAGGAAAGTCAAAGGCCAGAAGAGTCCAGGGCTTTTGTGTTTCGACCAAGTCATACGGCTACTTCCACCAAGCCCATGTATGAAGACTATGTCGGCTTTATGTCCGTTGTCTGGTGTATATACTACGTTTAGTCCCAGAGCTCCAGGGTCCATGTGAGTTGGAGATGTGGACATTTGAGATGGCGAAGGAGTGTTCGAGGAGCGAACATCGTCTCCCTGATCTGGAAGGAGCAACGGGTCGACAACGCCTGTTTCTCTTCGCCGAATTCTTCTGCTCGCACCTCTTAGGAAATTCAAGGTATTCGAAGCCTAAAGGAGTATTAAGACTGCGATCTGTGTATTTCCTCAATAGCACTTACCATACTGGGGAAAGGTTCTCGCGAACGTGCTGAGAGGCCGTCTCTGGACACGGGACATTCATGGTTAGAGATACTTTGCTTGCGTGGCGATATCTAAGCCTCAAAGTCCTGACCGGTCGTGTGTGGCATGGATCTTAGTCGCCGTTCAAGTTGGGGGCCGCATGCGGGGTAGTGTTTGTTCGTCTGGGAGTGCCAACCCAGCTAATCATAGTCGCGCAGCCCTGTTAATTAGGGCGCAGTCCTGGTGTCCATCTGATGGATGCCTGTAATGTGGCGTCTCTTGGAACCGGAAGGGAGGCGGATCATGGATAATGATTAAGGGCGGGAGCGACGTCCCGCTCGTGGCTGCCGACCCGCGAATCATCTTACGTGCGGTGAACACCGAAGCTGCTCTCGTGCCACCATCTCAGCATCCAACGTAAGCAAAAGATAACGTACCCGCATACAAGGCTTCCATCAGCTGTTCCCTCTGCCATTCGAGAGCCGACATATCATAAGTGCGGGGTCCCCTACCCGTAGTCGTGTGCTAGTCTTTCATATCCGCCATGATGAACGCATTAGAATGGGAAACCGAAATAGGAGGGACGTTCCGCATTCACCGGGCTGTAACCAGAGGTAGTCGTTCCTACAACCCCGACGTCAAACTTCGTACACTAAGCACTACGAATTAGCTATGCCTGTCGGTACCAGGATCATATCTGCAGAGCCTTGCGGTGTTTCTGCCTGGACGAAGACAGCAAAGATTGACGTGATACTCCCGGACCAAAGCTCAAAGACCTTTTTCCTCAAAGTATGTCGTGGTAGAGTAGAAGGTATTTGTACTTGCTGACATATCGTTGCAACACAAAGTGCGCCACCGGCCAGGGCTCAAAGGCTCTTGTCGAAGGCGAGTACGAATCTGCATGCGCTATCAACAAGATAGTTCCAGGTCTGGTTCCTCGAGCGACAGGATGGGGGAAGTATCTAGATGGTAGCACCCAAGTCTATTTCTTCCTTGGGAACCACCACGACATGGACCTGGTGCCAGCCCCAGAACCGGCAAGCCTTGTGGAGAGAGTTTCCAAAATGCACATTGAAGGGAAATCTCCAAATGGCATGTTCGGATTCGACGTACCAACAGTGTGTGGCAAGTTTGTACGCACGACGAAATGGGAGAAGACCTGGGCGGCGTGTTTTACCAATTTGCTCAACGATGTGATCAAATATGACAACGAGACCAACGGTCCTTGGCCAGAGTTCGATGCTGCCTGCAAGCAGGTAATCGCTATCGTTATTCCAAGACTCCTAGGTGCTCTCCAGTCGGATGGTCGAAATATCGAGCCAGTGTTGATCCACGGTGATTTGTGGGAACAGAATGTTGGCATCGACATGGAAACTGGCGACACGATCCTGTTCGACCCCGGGTGTATTTATGCCCATAATGAGATGGAGTTCGGCACCTGGAGAGCGTCTTGGGCCTGTCACTTCAATTCTCCGATATACATGCGATTGTATCAGCGCCATATCGAGCCGTCCGAGCCTGTAGATGAGTGGGACGATCGAAATCGACTATACAGTATCCATATATATCTGAACGATTCCGCAGGCCATCCGGGTAGTATTTCGAGAGCCACGTGAGTATTCATCTGGAGGAGTGTAGAATCGAGCTGATGAAATCCAGAGCTTACAACGACATGTTGTACTTGTGCGAGAAGTACGCACCGCTGGAGGGCCTAGGCACGTATCGTCCAGAGAATGACGTTAGCGTTACTGGCGCCTACATCGAGCACGAGACCACGAAGATGAGCCATCTCCATCATGCCGTAAAGACTTGATAATCGATACATTCGGGTCAACCCTGCGTCTGAGCGTACATCAATTCCGTTGGAGCTGGTGTTAGACTGAAGGTTGTGCGGTGCTGGTGATGAGGGAAACGGCGCGTCCCTGCCCAAGTGAGCTCGACGCGTCCGAAGTGGGTACCTAGGTACGCGTCATGCGCTAGCCTCAGAAACCGGGGTGGCAGGCGCTGCCCAAGTGATGCCATCGACTTATTTTTGCTATCGCGCTCGAGCCTAATGAATATTCTTACGGCTAAAATAGGCCTCGTGCTTTAAAACCTTGCGCTGTGTTGCACCAAAGAGCAGTGCAAAAAATCTAAGGATCAATTAACATCAAACCACCCACGCATGACATAAGCCCGCACCCCAAAGCTACACACTATTGTTCTAGCCTGCATACTCAAGTAACGAGATCAAAACGGGCTGAAGTAGACGCCGTAGTTGTAGCACTATTGTTTAAACCCCAACTTTCAAGCATGTTGTACACCCGTATATCCTTTCTACACAGCCTGACACCAGCTGCAACCTCCGCAAAAGGCGTCCTTTCATGTTGCATCAACACGACTGAGTATCACCCAACCAAGCATAACCATACATCTAAGAAGAAGAAAAAGTTGCATAGAATTACATATCTCAACTACCAATTCCCAGCCCTAGACCCTACTGCCCCACAAAGAACAAGGCTAGAAAGTAACGAATCAAGACGTTGATGAAAAGTGACTGACTACCGGAGCGATCCCGCTTTTCTCAAAACGCCTTCAAGGAAAACAAAGCCACAAAAGGTCAAACGCCAGACCAAGATGAATGAGTGACATAGGAGATGCCCATGTTCCCAACCACCAATCAGTTCCAACAAACGAGACATTCCAAGTGCTAATACAGAGCGCCAACTGTGCAGGCTCGATCAAGCCAAACGCTTCAATCGCAAAGGAAGGACAGCCACCTAGGCCTTAGCCTTCTTGGCAAGGTAGTATGTCAAGAGGTTCAAGTGCTGTTCCCTCGCGCCGGCAACGGCTTTCCAAAAGCCGCCGTCTTCCTTTGCGCCGTCGGAGCCATTGATGCGTTCGTGGAGGGCGATGCAGAACTCAATGTCTGCTTTGCGCACGTCGGCGTCTTGGTCGTCCATGCAGCGTACGGCTAGTCTGCCTAGACGCGCAGTCTGTTCGGCGGACAGTGTGACGTTTTTAGCGCCGCTCATCTGGACGAGGGATGCAAGGGTGGTCAAAGCCATGGTCGTGGACCGGGTTGACGCTTGGCCTGGTTGGGATGAGACCGAAGACTTGGAGTTTGGCGAGGATGTTGGAGTGGATGCGGGCGTGTCCTCAATCATCGCGAGGACGGTGTTAAGGCAGTCTAGAGTCTGACCGTACTTGACGATCTCGTCTGCGGTCGCTTCAAGGTCAATGGCAATGTGTGATGTGCTTTCGTACTGTGCCTTTGTCTGTAGGATCGTGCGAAGAACGCGAGAGTAGTACTTTGAAGTCTCCTTACGGTAGAGGGATAGCAACGCGCGAATTGTTGCTAGAGCCTGTACCTTGAGATTGACAGCTTTCATCTGAGGCGCCTTCAACTCGTGGACGGGTGCCTCAAGGAAATCCAGACATGCCAGTAATAGCCTGCCAAAGTTCTCGTCATTCGGTCCCCAGATTTCTTGGTTCGACTTGACCATGTCCTGCATGCGGCGGAACATGTGGGCTTCGACTGTGCGTCCTTCAATCTTTTTGATGCCGCTTGTGAGCAGCTGTCGGTTCTTCAGCACTTCAGCATCGTTTGTCTCGTAGCTTTGCGTGTGCAGAACACTTCCTGTGCTGTTCGTCTTGTGGTGGCCGCGAGGGCGCTCTTCGTTATCGTTACCCATCATGACATCGCTTGTCATGCTTCCAGTACTTTGGCGGCGCTCGTTGCTCTTCTCGTTAATGGGAAGCTCCTCGAGAACCGGTTTTTCTGATCCATTCTCGACAGGTGTGTGCACTTCGCCAACAAATGGATCCTCAAACACTTGCACTTCGTCTCCGGCGTCGGTACCGCGAGTGCTTGGCCGATCTGGTGACCTCAGGCGCGGGCTGCGTGTCGAAGACCGTAGGCTAGCGCTGTCTAGATGGCCCATAGACTTTGGACTTCTTAGCGCTGCAGCACGAGGGCTGGGTATCGGCAGTCGACCGATGGACTTTCTCGGCTTCGGTGGCGTATCATGTGTGGATTGCGTCGTCGGTTTCGCAAGGTTAGGAATGACCATGGTAAAGTTGTCTTCATCTCCCACATCCACAGCCTCATCGTCTCCAGCTACACTTCCACCCAGACCATTCCTTTGTCGAAATGGTATGGTACCTGCGTCATGCTGGCTTTGTGATCGAACCCAAGGCTTCACCATCGATAGGTCCTCCTCTTTTGCTGGGCTCACAGCCGGGCTCTCGCGACGAGAGCTCGCACTAGGAGACTTGCCATGGGCAATGGGTTGGCCAATCCTTGATTTGGGCCGCGCCGGACTAACTTGCGGGCTGTTCTGTGTTTGCGCACGCGGCCTTGAGCTGCTCTTCGGTACAGCAGGCTTCTTGGTCGCCGTTGGAGCAGGTGTCTTCTCTGGGGTCATGTTGGGCGTGCTCTTTCCTGGTCGTCGGACAGCATATGGGTCCGCGGTCGCTGGTCGGTTCAACTCTGGTCGGCGGACCGGACGACGGACTGTGCCCGACATCAAGGAGCCGGTACCTGTGGAGTTCTTCAGCGCTGACTTCGTTGACTCTCCGGACATGGCAGAGGGTGGTCGCGCCGGGCCCGAAGAAGCCGTGGAGAGATTCGACGTTGTTCTCGCGCCCAGAGACTTGGCCGATTGCGACGTTGGCACTGGTGTATAACTAGCAGCAGCAGAGTTGGGGCGTTCGGGGACACCTTTCGCGGCCGCTAGCTTTGCTCTCCTCTGTTCAGCAATCTTCTCCTTCAGGGCACTCCGCGAGGCACCCGGGCCTATTGATTTCGAAAA